CGACTAAGGGTGTTCATTTAATGGCTATCAAATGATTGTAGGCTGCTACAAAAATATTTTCTGGCAGAAAAAGATGCTGAGAGAATAGACTAGGCTGAGGTAGAAATCTTTCTTTCATGTTATCGAAGCTTCTCTTTCCTTTAGCATCTCATGCTTGCTCTATGATTCTTAAATACTAAAAGTAACAAATAGTAAATCTTCTAAGTTGCTTGGTGCCAAAGGGTGAGTCTTTCCTCTTTTACCACATGAGAAGCAGAGTGCTGTCATACTTTTGGGTAGGATAAATTGTACATTACTCAGATATTTCTGAAAAGGGAGTGCTCCTTGGTTTTAGGGTCAGACCCAGTGGGAGGTATTGTATGCAGGGCATTTTGGAGCAGGGAGGAGTAGAGTTTGTGCTACCTGTTGACCCTGCCAGTGCCCTGCAGATCACATTGTGAAGACGGAAACCTTCTTATTGCCCTAGGTTTGCTCAGTGTACCCCTTTTTTCAAGACAAAAGGGTGGGGTAAGATAAAGTGCCTCTCATTCTTGATTCTACTGTTTAAGCAAAGATGTTGAAGACCAGTAGAAGCTGTACTGGTCAGAGGAAAGTGAAGCAAAAGTATAAGTATCAGTTATCACCATTGTTCTATCAAGGTAGACACCCAATGTCTGCGGGGAGCATAGGGAACTAAAAGTAATTTCATAATGCTTCACATATAAAGATGAGGACTAGGGTGTAGTCAGCAGTACCCAGCATTTGTGAGGCCCTGGGCTCAGTCTGAGTCACCTTACAAAGAAGAAAAAAAATACATAAAATTTTAGCTGTGTATGGTGACTCTTTTTTGTAGTCCCAGCTACTCAAAAGGTGGAGGCGGGAAGATCGCATGAGCCTGGGAGATTGAGGCCACTGTGGGCAACACAGCAAAACCCTTCCTCTTTAGAAGAATTAATTAATTAAAAAAAGGGATAAAGAAGTGCTATCCTCTTTAGCTTCTGACCAGTTCTTGTGTCTAGGAGGAAGGTCCACAAAGCCCTTACACAGTTCTGATGATCCTTGGTAGTTTTCCTTCCCCATTGCCCATGCATTTTCACGGTCCAGCCTCCTGCTCAGCTTCTCTCTAGTTAGAGTCCCGGGTGCATCTTTATAATTCTTTATTCCCACATGCTCACATTCTTCCTTACCGTCTCTCCACCCAGTCAGATGTGCTGTTGCTCAAAGTGCTCAGCCAATCAACCTCTCCACCCAGCTTGGCAGCCGAGGGCTGAGGGCAGCTGCCAGAAAACACGAAGATTAGGCCACCTTAGATCCATGCCATGTGTCCCAGGGCTACCCACCTGTGCCTCTCTCCTGTGTACAAGATGACTGTTTCGCATGCTCTCCTCTCGCCTCCAATTACTGACAGATCTTTTCCTATCCAGTTTCTTTTTTTTTTTGAAGTGCAAGTCTTCTTTATTTGTTTGTTTATTCTTTTTTTAAAAAAATTGAGTTTATTGATACATTTTAGGTATACAATACAGTTACATTCACTATTGGGATCTTGTACCTTCACATGACAGGTCTTGGTTCTCATTTTTTCCCCTTGTCCCTGCCCTCCCTTCACCCCCCCCATTTACAAACACTTTATTTCCATTTTTTCATTTTCTCCTATTTTTTTCTTTTCCCTTATTACCTTTCCCCTACCCTTCCCACTTTCCCTACACCTTTAGCCCTTTTCTTCCCATTTCACAATCACAGGAAGTAACAAAACAGATCAGTCAGGCTCTAGAAAAATTCAAAACAGAAATAATTTCCCAGATAACCATAGAGATAGTGAGCAAAATGAAAGTCATGATTCGAGACTGTAGAACAGAAACTGACAAAAAAATAGATGAGCTCAGGACCATGATGGAAGCCATGAAGTCACAGCATAAGAAAGAGATGGAGGGGCCGGGGATTTAGCTTAGTGGTTCGGTGGCCTGCCTTGCAAGCTCAAGGACCCAAGTTCAATCCCTGGTACCAAAAAAAAAAAAAAAAAAAAAAAAAAAAAAAAAGAAGAAAAAGAAAATGGAAACAATAAATACCCAACATAGAAAAGAAATGGAATCCATAAAACAGATTCAAACAGATATCCAGGAGATTAAAAACTCCATTAAAAGTGTTTGCAACAGAATAAAAGAATGCAAAGATAGACTCTCAGATATAGAAGATAAGATTGCAGTCAGCGATAGTGAAAAGAGAGGTCTCTTAAAAACAGTAGGGGATCATGAGAAGAGAAACCTATCCAGTTTCTTATGGGACTGAGACAGTAAGAGAGAGATGGAGATACCTTTCCTATATTTCCACCACCCAAACTGCCCGCCTGCAGTAGGGCCTGTGCTGTCTGCCCGTCCTATGCCTGAGCAGCCTGCAGCCTGGTCCCTGTCCCTTTGCCAAGAGTGGAGAAGCCCCCCTTCCCCGGTGTCTGAGTGCCAGGCTCTGGTCTGAGGACCTCTGTGCTAATGGAGATTGACCCCAAAGCTCCCTCCAGCTGTACCTCAATGTCTCTGTTCTTTTTCAGCTAAATTTCTGGTTAGAGTGTTCTGTGTTTGTTGTGTTGACCTCTTCATTTCACATTTTCTTTTGAACCTCTCCAACTTGGCTTTTGTCCCTTTGATTCCGTGGAAGTGACTGTTTTCCGGTGCAGAGGATCACACTCACATTTCTTAGCTGGCCCCTCAGAAAAGCCTCACCCATTTGCCTCCTAGACACCACACTTGTCTTGGTTTTTCTCCCACCTTGGCGTCCCCTCTCTGTCTCCTTTGCTGGGCCCCTCTGCTGGCCAGCCTCTCTGTGGTGCTGGCCTGGGCTTTGGGCTGGGTCACTTCCCTTTCTTTCCACACTGCAATTGATGACTCCTCTATTTTAATTTAACACATAGACTCTGGCATTTTTGTTTGGATGTCATAGGCATGCCCATTACACAACTAATAAATACACCTCAAAATTGTTGATTTTGTTCTTTATCCTCTGTTCTTATTTTCAGTACGGTGGTATCTCTACGTGCGCCTTACATTGTAATTGCCAGCAGGGCTCTACCTTCAAGTTACTTTGCAGATCTGCCCACCTCTCACCCCTTCCCAGACTATACCCAAGTCCAAAACACCCTCATGTGTCCTAAGTTTTAAGTGGTCTCCTAGGGTGTCATCCTACTTCCTCTTTTCCTCTGATTTAGCCTGTTTCCCACCTGGAAGCCAGAGGCATTCTTTAAAAATATAGCTCAATCTTGCCCTCCCTACCCTCTCCTACCTCCTTTCCTGTTTCTCTCTGCCCCTCCCTGCTGCCTCCCACCAGCACAGTCTTCTGTGCCACTCTTTGAACACAACAGGTACATGTGAACCTCAAAACTTTCGCTGTCCTCACTGCTGAGAATGTCCTTCCTGTAGACACTGACCTCAGTTAAGCAATGGAACTCATTATTTTAGTGTGGCCTTTATGCAAACTGCACTTTATGAGAAAAGCTTTCCTAAATCTTTTCATCTAACATAACAGCAGCTCACATTTTTTAGTCTTCTCGACAGTTCTGAGCAGAGTTAGTGCTAGGCATCTGCTGGCACATCTGATTGCTGTGTTTCCCCCTGAGAGGTGTCTCAGGTCCAGGAAGGCAGAAGTGTTCTTGCTTTATCCCTGGTCCTGGGAACAGCACCCATTGGGCCCTTGATAAATGTCTGTTTAAATTTTGGTATAGTGACAGGTATTAAGGACTATAATGTTAAAAGACATAAATTTCAGCGTGTTTTATTTTAAGGTGAGTTTTTAAAATAGTTTATAAGAGATATTTTCCTGTGTAGACCTCAGGGTGTTCTGGGGCCTACAAATAAATGTGACCCCCAGCAGCTTCAATTCTTGATGTTCAGAAAGCTTGTAATTTTTACATGGAATGTGTTATTTATTCAGCAGAACTAATGTGTTTGACCCTTTTAAACTTCTGACAAATTCTAATATTTAAAAGGCTTAGGAAAAAAGGTGTGAGTATGTAAAACTGGAAAAATTGTGGCAAAAGGATTAAAAGTCACTTGCCAAATAAACATATTCTCATGGTTAAAAAAAAAAAAAAGAATAAAGGCAAGAGTTAGTCTTTCTTAAAACTTAAAAGGCAGAGAAAGAGAGCGCCAGGCTTCCTGAGAGGCCTTAGCTGCCCCTGCCCCTCTGTGCCTGCCCTGCCACAAGGTGGGGTCCTGTTGTGGTCACTGCTGTGGTGAGGCAGGCAGGAGCCACAGGTGAGGACTTGGCTGTCACTGAGGGCTTGTCAGGGCTTAGAGATAGAGCCATGGCGAGAAGGTGGCTCGAAGTCTTTCTAAGAAATCGAAACTGGGGAACAACACAGGTAGGATCTTATTTTCCTTAAGCCCTCTCCACCTGAAGCAGGGAAAATGGCCACAGCTGTCGCTGGCAACTCCTGTGGTGATGGTGGTGATGGGATTTTCTGAATGTCCTGAACAACACTTTCTGATGGAGTGGGGCTGGAAAGGCTGGCACCTCGTTCCCAGTTTCCTGGTCACCCTCTGTCACCCTCCACCGAGAAACAGGAGCCAAGAGCGGAGTTCTGTCCCACTCCCTCAGCTTGGCTGTGAGTTCTGCTCACTGTTGTGCAAGAGCAGAAAGGAAACCAGACCCAAATGATGAATTCTTGTCTTTAATGTTATGAGATATAAAGGGAGGAGGTCAAATCTTTTAAAATTCTGTTGCCATGTAATTTCTGACAGATAAATCCTTCGTGACCTCCTGAAAACCGAAATGGGAAGGTTTCCTACCCTTGCAAATATACATCGCTCTGAACTTTAACTCCGAATAAACATGATGCATAGTGTATGTCTGACATAACCATGACTTTGAAAGTTTAAAATATGGGGTGTTTGGTGGGCACAAAATCCCACAAAGCTCACTTTTTTGGCCATAAAAGTTGATTTTAAGAGATCAAGTGTGGTGAAAGTTCAGAGCTTGGATGGTTTCAGGAGTTTGCTTTCTTTGAGAATGTGCTCCTTGTTCCTTTTTCCCAGAGGAAGAAGATGATGAGGATGAAGAGGATGAAGAAGATGAAGATGAAGAGGAGGAAGAGGAGGAAGATAAAGATGCAGACTCCCTAGATGAGAGCTTCGATGGTGACAGCGACCTTCCAGGCTTTACTCTCCCTGGTGTCACATCGCAGGAGCCTGGCTTGGAGCAGGGAAACGGGGACCCACTGGCAGGAGCCACCTACCAGATGCCAGACGCCATCGAGTGGGAGCAGCAGAATCAAGGCCTGGGTGAGTGTCGGCCTACTTCTCTTTCTTCCCTCCCTCCTCCTTTTATTTTCCTAAGGTGACTTCTTTCATGGAGCAGAATGATTTTTTTTCTTGTGGTTTTGAGTGGTTCACTTGGGAAAATTTGTGTTCTTTTTTTTTTTTTTTTTTTTGGTACTGGGGATCAAACTTGGGTCCTTGTGCTTGTGAGGCAGGCGGTGAAACCACTGAGCTAAATCCCCGGCAAAAAAAATTGTGTTCTTAAACTCTGGACTCCAGTCTCCCGTTGCTCCTTATGAGTGTAGTCACCTGGTTTGGGAAGGAATTTTATTTTTCCTTGCTAGCAAGAAGACAGCTTAGGAGGACTTGCAAGTGTGTAATCAGTGTACTGACCCAGCAGCGCAGATGGACTGGAATAATAAAACAGGTGGATGTTGTCACCCTCTTCCCTGTCAAATTCATTCCTGGGGAAGGAGCTTCCCTGGTGCTGTGAGCATCCAGGCAGCCTCATAACTCCTCGGTTCACCATCAGACACAGTGTCATCTTAGCATTCAGCACGCAGACACCTTCTTCCGACTTGCCATGAGAGACCTTGATTGGGCTGTCCCCCTGTGTGGCGTCCCTGTCCTACCCTGGGAAGATTCCCAACTTATCGCTTTCCTCTCTTGTCAGGAGAGACAGGTCTGAGCGAAAGGAACCCTCTCTTGACCTGAGGTGCAAGTACTCTCTTTAGAGAAATCACCTCTATAAAATTCTCCAGCAGCTGGGTCTGTTTATATCTTCAGTGTGGCAGACAGTAAGTTGAAGAGTCACATTACCAGTTGTGGGACTATTTTATTGTAAATTGGAGTGTTGATCTGGGAATTTGCTTTGAATATAATTATGGGATTGTTACCCTATAGGTTGGCATAAAATTTGTATCTGGAGTGTAGCTGGGATTTTCTGTGGAATATGCATATAGGAAAGAGAGAGGATAATAAAGGATCATGTCCAGTGGGCAGCCAGAGAGAATTATTATTGTGCGTCTAATATTTACCAAATTAGAGATGCAGCATGTTTTCAGTAATAATTGCTTTAAAATGTATCAAATAAATAAAAAGGTATCAAATAAATAAAAAGCTTATAAACACATAACATAGTACAAAATAATATGAACTCTGGTCTTGAGCAAGTGAACAAATTTAGTAAGCAAAACTACATACAATATAAAACTACTACACACACAGTAAGCAAAACTACTATATATACAGTTGAAATGAATGAAATAAAGTGCAAAATGGGAATATGATGTACTACAGAGCAAGTTAGAGACAAAGACAGACATTTGTATGTAAAAGTGACTCCGGGTGGGGACTTGGTGCTGTGGAGCTATCATGTCATGTGGTGTTCTTCGTATGGCTCGGATGAGTATTTGGGACCACTTTGCTGGAGAGATGAGTGAAGGAGAGCGAGGGGAAACGGCCTTCCTACAGAAATAACAAGTTCATACGGCACCTGCCCCAGGGTGATGGTCAGAGCAACCGGCTTTCCTCATTCATGAAGCTGCCTTGCCATCGACGAATAATTATAAGTAATTGGACGGACTGTGGAGCTTAGAAAATTGTGGAGAGGGGTCGGTTCAAAGCTACAGTGATCATTTTGTCTGTGGCCTTGTGCCTCTCACCACAAATTCACCGCCTCATGGTAGTCAGATGTTTAAGGAACCGACTCTCTTGAGACGTGGTACACACAAACTGCACCTCTGAAACGCGCAGTTCAGTGCATTTTGACACTGTCACCCGCGTAGCCGGGTCCCAGTGCAGAACATTTCTTCCTGCCATCCCACCTGGGAGCTGTCTGCCCTGTGCAGTGCCTCCCTCAGCCCCAGCTCTAGGTGGGCACTGCCTTACTTTTGTCCCCACAGATGAGTCTGCGGTTTCCAGAATTCTGTAGAGAGAGATCATATATTATATGAGATGTGATCAAAGTATACGGTGAATGCTTAGATTAAACACATTGTTACAGTAAAGAGCACCAGCACCATCAGTCCTCTCGCACTGTTACCCCTCACTTCAGACACACTTACCTCATCACGTACGCTTCCTGCGGTAGCTCTGGAAATCCTTTTTCTGGAGTGCCATTAGCTGCACTGTCCTGGGTGCCTTGATGTCCTGAACTGATTCAAAATGTTTACCTTTCAGAGTCATTTGGACTTTGGGGAAGAGCCAGAAGGTGCATGTTGCTAGATCCAGTGAATAAAGTGGTTGAGGACACACTGTCCTGTTTTTATTTGACAGAAATTGCTGTAAATGGTTGATTAATGAGAGGGATCACAAAATATGGCGACTGTTTTTATTAACATTGGTTACAGTAAAAGACACATTGCGATTCATCTCCCTTAATATACTCCAGATATTTCTTCCTCACTTTGAACATATGCCTTTGTTCTTGGCAATGTATAATAAAGTTTTTAATGTAAACTTTTACTGTAAGAACTTTTTTTTTTTTTTTTTTTTTTTTTTTTTTTGGTTTTTGAGACAGGGTCTCACTATGTAGTTCAGACTGACCTGGAACTCACTATGTATCCCAGACTGGTCTGGAACTGACAGTGATCCTCCTGTTTTAGCCTCCCGAGTGCTGGGATTACAGGTGTGCGCCACCATGCCCAGCCTGAAAGAAAGTTTTTTAATGTAAGCATTCTTTTTTCACTGAGCACAATGACTTCAAGATTCACCTGTATCAGTAATTTGTCCTTTGCCATAGCTGGGTAGTATTAAATTCTGGGAACTACCACGTTTTGTTTTTTTGGTAGACATTTGAGTTGTTTTTATTTTTTAGCTAATAGTTTTAAGGTGTGTCAGGCACAAAGCTCAGGACAAGCAGGTCTTTTGTCCTCCTATCCTGTTTCTTAATTCCGACCCCTATGCATAGCTAAAGTTTCATAAATTAGTGATACCAATTTAGGATTTTTATGCTTTTATTTTTTTCACTTTATTTTATTTTACTAGTACATATTTGTAATTCATGCAGTTTATAGTCATCTTGTGGAGTGGTTACACGTACATATTACAGCTATTTTTTTAAATCCCCTTGTTGTGTGCTTTTAAAAGGCATTTCTGCATGTCCTGAGTTTTTAAACATCAGATTTTTCAAATTACAATTTACTACTTCCTAAGGTGTCCTTTGTTTTTTTCCTTAACTTCACTCAATAAAGCCATTTTGTCAGCCTTTTTTTTTTTTTTTTTTTTTTTTTGTATCAGGGATTGAACTCGGGACCTTAAGCTTTTGAGGCAGGTGGTGGAACCACCTAGCTAAATCCCCAGCCCTTGTCAGCCTGTTTTTAAGTATTGAATGTTTTGTGGAAAGCAAAAACAAGGACCATGTATTTCCAGTTGGTCTTTTTCCTACTGGGGAAAATTGTGTTTGACTAGTCTGAATCTGGAAGTTTATTGACCCAAAAACTTTTTCTTGGAGGGATAAGGGATATCCTCTCATAACTCAAAACCAGAAAGAACTTTTGGGTTGGATTTAATCGCTGCAGTTTCCTGAGTCCTCTCAGGTCAGGTCCCTCATTATGATGGCCTTGCAGCGTGAGGAACAATGGCTCTCCAACGATGTCCACGGTCTGATCTCTGGAAGCTGTGAGCACGTTATTCTGGATTATCTCGGTGCCCGGAGTGACCACGAAGGTTCTTATACGAGGGAGGCAGGAGGGTCAGAGAGGGAGAGCTGCTGAGAGGAGCGGATGCTGGTGTGGTATGGCCATGAGCTAGGCAGGCCATGAGCCTGGAGAGTCTGGGAGGCTGCAAACGCACTCTGCAGGGTTCAGGGAGGAGCACAGCCCTGCCAGTGTCAAGCTTAGCCCAGTGAAACCTATTTCAGACTTCTGACCTCCAGGGCTATGCAAGAATACATTTGGGATGTTTTAAGCACTAAAGTTTATGTGGTGTCTACAGCAGCACAGGGGACTAATACAGATGACAGTAAGTGTTTAATGAGCTACATTGTTTTTTTTATTGAGTTTATTGGTACAATCTAGGTATACAGTACAATTACATTCATTATTGGGATTCTGTACCTTTGCATAATAGGTCTTGATTCTCATTTTTTCCCCTTGTCTCTGCCCTCCCTTCACCCCCTCCTCCCCTTCCAATTTACAAACACTTTATTTCCATTTTTCAGTTTCTCATATTTTTTTCCTCTCCCTTATTACCTTTCCCCCACCCTTCCCACTGTCCCTACACCTTTAGCCCTTTACTTCCTATTTCACATTATTAATTATCTCATTAGGATCCTATGTACTATTATAATTTTTCACACCAAAGAAACTATTCAGTATTTCAGTTAAAGAAATCTCTGTATGAACATTAAAAATAGGGAATCCTAAAATAAAACTAAAAAGGAAAGTAAAAGAGAAAAGGCAATGATGTAACATTAAAATAATCCTTAATTCTGGAGATGAAAATGGTCCCTGAACATATTTAAATTGCTTCTTGCTCTT